CAACCCACAGGGAAGTCCGAGTGTGAAGGAAAATGGACTTTGGGTGGATTCAGATTCGACCCTTCCATATTTTTGGTGAGCTATTGGTTTCGCGCTCTCCTCGGAAAACCTGTATTATATTGTTAAAATTCAAAAAGCTCGCGTTTTCCCGATTTGACATTCAAGCACCATACTTGTAGTAAGTAGTGTCGTTGGCCACTGCAATTTTCAAAAATTATGCCATTAGCCTTGTTTAAATCAACCCTGCGCACAATTAAAAGCGCCTATCGTGACCCTTTCCTTCCCGTCCAATTTTATAAATGCCGATCTCTTGAGGCGAGATAGGACTTTGCTGGAGAAGACCACTCGTTCGCTCTTTATCCAACCTTGGGAATTTATAAACTGCGGTCATGGGACTTACCTCCCATTCCTAGGAGTTTCAAAGCTTTCTTCTCGTTTTTTTTTGTGGGTCTTCTGCTCCAAGAATGGAGGCCGTTCGAGGTCGCCCGTCGTCTCAGGAGTTTAATGTCAAAAGTTCAGCTTGTGACCAAGTTGCTTCCTGCTGACTTCCATCCGTATAAATTCCGTTCTCGTTTCTACACTTCTTCCCTGCCCTGTAGAAATCACAGTATGGCGCGGACCGCGGTGCCGCGCATTAACCATGGGTGGGTCTGATAACGTCAAGACTGAACCACCACTTTCGGGTGGTAAAATGGGGTACGCTCGTCTTCCGCTCTGAGTTTTACGCGGGGATTGTTCAATGGTGCAGATTTCCTCTTTGCTTCGATGGCGCATCAAGATCTCAGCATTAAAAGGCGCACACAAAAGCTCTTTCGTATTTAAGAAAAATTGAGTTTCGGAACATGATTGAAATCACTCCATAAATTTCTTTGCGGGGGAAATCCTTCCGCTTCCTCCGATTGAGACAAGTAGCGAGCACCACTGAATAGCGATGGCGATTCCGAGCACGCCCCAAAGGTATTTGGATGCTTTTCGTTGCACTGACAACTGAATTCTGCGGAGGAATGTGATGCATATATATATGTATACCAGCTCTAATACACGTTCCATGTTAGCACCCACACACAATGAAGAACACATTGACCCCTGCAATTCCAGCTGCTCACAAAGCGAAATTGTGACCATAATGTTGTCGATCTTTCAATATCCGACTCATTCGGACATGAAATTGATTTCCCACTGAATTCAGATTAAACGGGTTGCCAATAGGAACATTGAGGCATTTATTTTTGCGCCATGACGCCGATGAGACCTTGAAGTGATTTGCTCAGGGAGAAAAGAAAAGTTTAGGTTCGGGTTTGGAGGTGTAGGGAGAGGGAGGGCTCCTTTATATATGCGACTTCAAATCAAAGATCGCAGGAGGACATCTCTTAATACGAAAGTGCGGCGATCCTGGTCACGTGTTTGTTTGCCAGACAATACTGGAAATTACATTTTGCATAATTTTAGTCATAAAACGACAAATAAGAAAGTATTATAATATACTCTCGCAAAATCTCCCATGCCTGCCCTCTAGCCCCGAATTAACATCCCTGGCACCGCTATCAGCGACTTTTTGAACACGAGTTTCCGTGAGTTGGCGGGAGCTGATGGGAAGGTAATCCTGACGGTGTGAGTCATGTGGGATCAATACAAGAATGGAGCGGCAGTGAGAGTACTTCAAGTTTGGGGGTGAAATCAACCATGAGTCTTAAGGGTCGGAAGAGCTGGGTAGCTCCTCGATTAGCGGGGTCATAAGAAGCAAACATTGTGAATGTCCAGTATCTGATTTCGCGTGTGCTGCCAGTGTGTTATGGGGCTTGCCATCATCCACGAAGGCTCTGCTCTGCGACGATGTTGGCGGGGATGGCGAGCTGGGGTAAACAGTGAAATTGAAGGCCCGTGACAGGCTGGGCGGAAATTCCCGCCGCACCAATTGCCGCACATTGCGGCGGTTTTTCGCCGCACATTCGAATTCAGAGATTTTCTGGAATCTGGATCCACCATGCGCTGCTTGAACCTGTTTGTGTTTATATTCTTCAAATACGTCGTGGGAACTGATCTACGAATTCATATGTTTCAGGAGAGCTATAGCCTATCAGGCCCGCTTCTTGACTTCCCTGCGGAATAGATTGGAGTCAGTTACTTACCAAATGTAATTCAGTGGAAAAGCAGAGTGTTGTTTTTGTTGTGGCAGCAGTGTGATAACATAAGGCGACATGTGGAGAGCTACGTGCCAATCGGCAAATTCGCAGTGCTAGCGTGCCCGGATTTTTAATTATCTTTACCCTCGCTCTCTACCAGGGCGGTTAGCGTATAATTAATATTCAAAGTATCACTGCCCCCAAGAGCCCTGTATTAACATTATGTACTGTTCCAACTGGTATTTACGACCAAAGCGCGTCTGAAATTAGAGACTTTTGACTGACCGGTGCTGAACACTCGTCATGCCCAGTGAGATTTTTTCTTTCTTCCCTCTCTGGTACACATGAAATTTCAACGGCCAAAAAGGCCATGGCGTAGTCACAAGGGGCAAACGGCTTTTGTCGCCAGGTAAAGAGGTGATAAACAATAAATAACTATGTTAAATTTTTTATTCCACATTTGTTGAAAAAATGATCAGTTAAATAAAATTCAAATGTTCTTGCTCATTATCTTTGCAAGAATGGTTGATAAAAAGAAAATGTTGTTGCCAGAGTAGCATAATAAATATCAACCCTGTTTTGCTGCAGCAACAAAGATGAGGTGACAAGTTTATGTCATTGAAAGCCCGTTCCTGACATGAGGAATTGGAACAAAGAATTTAACTAATTGCCAGGGAATTAGACATTCCTACACAGGCCAGATCACCTCGTTGCTTGGCAAATATGTAAACTCTTTGTTCCTGTTCCCGCGTGTCAGAAGGAGCTTTCAATGACATTAAATCGTTGCCTCATCATTTTTGCTGTGGCAAAACAGTGTTAACCTTTATCTTCCTACCCCAGAAACAACATTTTATTTTTATCACTCATTTTTGCAAAAATTATAAGCAAGAAAATTTTAACCTTATTTAACTGCTCATTTTTGCTGCAAATGTGGAATAAACAATTTAACATAGTTATTTACTGTTTAGTGCCTCTTTACCTGGCGACGAAAGCTCTTTGCCCCTTGTGAGTACAGAATGTCCCCGTCAAATAATTTCTGCTTCTGGGTCACAATGATGAATCGACAAACGGTGTAAAGGTAACATATCCCCAGAAAGCCTAATACCACCGCGCCCACAAAATTTAACAATTGAGAAACGCAATTGATAGAACGAAAGGAAATCAGAAAGCAGCGGAAGAATATTTTACAATCAACTTCCGCGCACCCTCATTCGGAATTTCGTAAGAGCGTAGTCCGCAATGATTTTCCCCTGGGGTGGCATACACTGGATCAATGCTCAAGGGTTTCAGCGTCTCTTACAATTTTTACGGGCTTCCCCGCGGTTTCTGTTACCAATTAGATCCGAGTTACGGATAGGTTAGTCATAATCTTGAAAGTGCGTTTCCTCGCTTGAGGGACTCACACATTGGCGCATGCTTGTAGCCCCTTTTTCTAGGCGATCAGTTTCAAATGTGAACGTGCTTATGGCTTGAGCATGGTGACTTGAACGCGTGAGGCCGGGGATTTCTCGGTCAGAGGAGGCTGTAGAGCGTGTCATGGGTGCACTCCGTAAATTACGAGACTTGTTTGGTTTTTGTATGTGGTTCCCTACTTTATTCATTAGCGAGGATCTTCTGCCTACTGATTGATTTTCTCACCGTAACGTCGATCAACCGGAATGTATATTATATTCAAGTTGTTATGATTGTGTTATGACAACACCAAGCGATCTCACTGGTCGACGGTTGTGTCTCAATAAGACATGAGAAATTGGTCTGAATACCCTAGCCAACGGGCTTGTCTAGAGATAGAAAAAGCGAGTTCGACCTTATCTGTCCAACTGCGTGCACAATTCAAAACTCGCTTACCTCGACCAGCTTCCCCATTGCATGTGGCGTCAACGAATTTCCCCCACAATCAGGAACTATGACCTCGCATCGCTACGATGACGAGGTGGTAAATACAATGCTACGACGAAAGCCGCATGATAGCTGGTCGAAGTGAGAGATGGAGGCGGTGAGTAAGGAGAAGAGAGGAAGCGGGGGCTGAAGTCTGGGAGAGATCGGCGAAGATCAGTGATTGCAGCTTCCGACCTCCTGAATCATCCCCCGACGCCCATCCCCTTGACCACAGGTCCAAACTACGTGGATACGATAAGACGCCCCGAACGATGGGAAGCAAAGAATGAGCAGCGACTCGGATGTCACGCGTTATGTTGGAGAGTGGTGTCGTTTGAGGATGTGCTGAAACATTGATCAAGGTAAGCAATCGTCAAACTATAGACAGGGAAAGTGCAAGTTACCTCAGGATCCAATCTGTCACTGCATAGATCGGTCCTACCGCAAACAACGTCTGCTGGCTAACGACCTCAATAACGACCACGCGGAGACGTAATGGATGTGGACGAGGACCATGCGGTTATAACTAGTCGGCCCAAGACCGACTTCCAGTAGACAATCTTGCGCGCCTCCTCAAAGTCGCAGTCTAGAGATCTCATTTTGCTTGATGAGGCCCTACGGCATCGAGGGAACGTTCGTTAATCTTGTCACAGAAGCATTTATTCAGGATGACTTACCACGCGGGCTCCGTTCCATAGTTTTGTGAGAGCAACGGCGAAAAACACAAGCGTTGATGGGTGCGAGAACACGTTGTGGAGGATTAGAATAAGCGGGTGACGATCAGGAAGGACGAGATGTGAAACGCGGGTTGAGGGTGGATATGACCATCAAGGAGTTCAAGGCAGATCAACTGATAGAGTTTGGAATGGTGACGCAACCCTGGAGAATGGCAAGAAAGAAATGGATAAAGAAAGGACAATGAGGACGATGTGGAGTTGATGTGGAGAAAAAGAGCGGAACTCTGCTCACGGTTTGAAACAAAACCTCCATGGCGCGCACGAACTAAGTCCAAAATTAGCGTCAAATATCTACATTGAAAAGGAAAGAGAAAGAATTTACCGCCAATACGGTGCCACGCACTGCCACCGGAGATATCCTACTTTATATCTAATCTAATCTATACATCTTTGGCTTCGTCCAACAACGTACACCACGTTAACGTTATCGCATAGGTCTCCCCGCCACCTCGCCATCGTCGCCAGTCGCCGCAAAGCGGAACACCTGTGCGCGGGTAAGAAGAATCTGAAAGGCAAGGTAGTGCATCTAACCTTTCAGTAAATTTCAGTCTTCATGCCAACTTCATGCCCTTTCGTTGCGATGCTGGGTCTATTGGATAAGAGGTAAAAATCGACACGTTCAGTTGGCGTCCTGGTCTCGGCAAGTTCTTGGCGTGTTCAATTGTGCAGATGCGAATGCAACGTGAATGAAGGAGTAAGTTGCATTCACACACCCGGCGAAGGCTGAAGCTGCGTTTGACAATATCTTTTCAAAGTTCAGGTGACTGTCCATGCTCGAAATTCTGATTGCCACTCCTCTCTACACGTCTCCACGCATTTCGGACACGCTTTTGCCCAACTTGTGCTTCAAGTATATACATTCCCGACCGACAGTGGACTCGAGACAAAAATCTTATTCGCATTAAATCAGCAGATGGTAACCAATCCACGGTCCCCTTTGTTTGTATCAAAATTTTTAGCCTGCAATGACGATGGCAAAATGAATTCCTGTTTGCCTCCTGCTATCTGGTAATATGACCATTTGGATAGTAAGGCAGCGACTCTGACGTTTGCTTTAGCCAATAGTAATTCATTCACGGAGCTATCAAAATCCCAACCGAAGATATTTATGAAACTCAACACCCCACACAACTGGAAAAGGGTACAAGTATTTAGTGGGGTCTACAGGTATAAAATCAACGCGACGCACCCCCAAACTCTCCAAGCCTCAAACACCAACTCGAAGTCTCATACATACACACCATGAAACTCCTTCCGCTCATCAGCCTTGCTCTTTCCTTGAATACGTTCACTGTCAACGCGCTTGCCTGCTTCGTCGTCCGAGCTCGATCCCTCGCGACCGTTGACGAAGCCAGAATCTGCTTCCCCGAGATCCTCTCCCTCCCGGTCACAGCGCCATTACTCTGTGCGACGGAACCGACCGCATTGATAATTGTTACGCCTACGAAGCTGCAGTAGGGACCTGTAACGTCAGTCAAGATTATTATTTTTTCTTCAAAGACGGTTCCGAATCTACCATTTCCAAATTAATCTCTTCTCGTCTTTTGCCAATCAAGGGGACGTTTCCTTCCTGTACACCACGGACTCGTGCACCGCTGACAATTGCGAAGCTTGCAGAAGATTGAGTTCCTCGCATAATTCGCATAGAGAGTCTTTTAAATCTTCAAACATGAAGGAGAAGTGGAGTCGTTTCAACGTTGATAGCGAGGGATTGTTGATCGACGCCGCCATACCTGCGAACGGTGCACCGGTGAAGTCGCACACTACATGAATGAGATATAAGATTTAATTTTCTTAAAAAGTGTTTCTGGTAACTGTAGAGTTTTTACGTTAATGAACGCGCGCGGGAGTTGAGATAGCCAAATCCGAATCTGTATGTTCAACATCTTAACATTGCTAAAGTCTAGCACCGGGCCATCGCTGGCAGTGGGGAGGCACATTGCATATTGATCCGAAGCGATCGTCTAAAACTCTGGGATTCTGACGTTGAAACAAGAAGTAGAAGTAAAATATTCTTGCTCGTCGACAGCGAAAACAGGGAAATCGACCATAGATATGGTGAGTTCCGTGAGGTAAAGGTGCACCTTTTTTGGCCCCCAAATACAAGCTCGTTGTTCCCAAGTTGATTTCACCGGATGCACTACTTGCTGGCCCCTTGGTTGTTCCCCTCCTGATCGACTGATCATCATCGAGGTCGTTGTTCGGAAAAAGCCGATCTTGGATGATGAAATTCGTTCATAACTTGGCTTACCGATCATTGTGCTGGGTATTTATCTGCCAGTTATCTGCCCGGCAAAGTCCGGGATTTTGTAGTTTACATATTTTTCAATAGATACAGTACTACTGTTGCTCAATTTTTGCATGTACATACTCACAGTTGTAAGCTATAATTTCGTCTCAGAGAGTTAATTGTTTTATGTAGCCAATGTGGAGAACTCGAGACCAAAGTTATCTGCCACCCCGAAAAGTTATCTGCCATTAGTCACGTGCACGTGACAAAAACAGAATCCTTGGAAATTCAAGCCATCATTGACAACACAGAGACAATTCTTGACTTCAAATGAAGCCGGAACTCAGAGAGAAGGTGCCTTGGGTTCTCATAGAAAAATTCTAGGGGGAACCGTTGAGACAATTCAGTTATATTAGTTTTGTTGTGTTATCACCAGGCTTGTTCATCTGCGTGCGAAGCACGCAACAAAAATTTTCTCCAACTCCAAGCAGCTTTACCTCTAGAAGCACCCAGGCCATCTTGTTGAAAAATAATTTTAACACAATGTGCTGTTGGGAATATCTAAGCAAATTCTTTCTATTTTATTTCTTTTTTATGTTTTGCTTTCTTTTGACACCCAGCACATTGAACGCAAAACCCATAACTTCTCACGATTCAAGGCACAGGTGTATCGGCCCTCATTTCCGTCCACCAACATAAGACAAGGGGTACGCACCGGCAATTGCCGACATATGGGGTAGGGAGGGGGGGTGGTAGGTCGAGCGCTTATCCAAATTTAAAAAAATTGTTGATTATTTCGCTTGATTTCGCCTTATGAGAGTCCAGAAAGCTGTTGTATCTCAATCTATCAAATCCCTATGAGCGTAGGGTCGCGTTTGGCGCATCTGACGTCAGTGGCTGGGTCGGCCCGGTTCAACAACAAACGTTCACACCAAGAAGTTCACTCTGCCATCGCTCTATCGTGAGCGCTTACCGTTGGCCCTCCTCCTCCTCCTCCCGCTAAATGTCAAATTTGTGCCAACTTTCGTAAGTTCAATGGTCCGCAAGTGGATTTTGCGCTATGCTTCAGCATTGAAGCACGTTGCACGTGGTCCGTGCATATTTACTTCCGTTCCGTCAGGTCTCATTTTTTTTAGATCTATGGTCACCCTCGCCGTACCACCACCATATCTGCCATGCCAAGACAAAAAAGGTCCCAAAAGGTATTCATCTGTCCACTTACAGGGTTTGCCCTATAACCGTGAATAACTATCAACAGGAACCATCCGAGCACAACGCGTCAAGCACTCGATGGTGTCCAGAGTGCAAGATCTCTGTAGGACTCAGCTTCGCCGGCGAGAAGAACTGGACTCAACACGTCGATAGCGCCGCTCATAAGACGAACGTCCGCCAAGCTGCAGCCATTCCAACCAAGAAGATCAGTTCGTTTTTCACCAAGACGGTGACACCTACCGCCTCCTGCCCCACTTTCCGCTGTCTAAAGACCAGCGTCCGCACCAGAAAGATGGCCGCCCCCGCGACGTATACTGGGATAGCCATATCTAAGTAAGTGATCATGATGGAATCGTACGCATGCGTTTATGTCGAACACACTAGTACCGCACCTGCCGTTCGTCATTGGGAGTGAAATTTTTAACGCAGAGGCTTACAGTTGCGTCCAGCTTGTCGGTACTATCATCACTTGGTTTTTGTCGGGGTCATTATTGGTGCAATGTTGTGTGTTTACTTCACTCTATTTCTTAACCATACCACTCATCCTCATCTCTTGCGGATTTTCAGACGATTTCTTCTGCGCCGATCATTTGAATGGGGACTTGAAATTCATCAAAGTAGCAGGTGCGCATCATCGCGATTTTTGTTGTCTCGCCTTCATGTACCAAATATTAGTTTGGATATGCCTCGCCGTTGATCAGCCTGGTGCGGTCGATGGCTGTGACTGCGGGTGCTTGGCAAAGCTTAATAGTTGCATGGGGAAACCCAACAATTTTCACTGGCCCTTCCGTGTTTCCCGTCCTTACCGTACCACTCACTGGGATAGGCGAGTCTTCCACTCAACCGATGCTTCAACGTACTGACTTCGCCATTAATAGAAGCCTGCATTGTTCAGTTTTTTTTTGCCTGGTGAGTCCTCATAAAACCTCGTTTTCGCGCATAACCTCCAACATCCTTATAGGCGAATATGGACCCTGAAAAGAGGGTTCAAAATCTATCGAATTATTTCAAGCGTAATGTGTTTGGTTAACGGCCTTCCCTGGTTTGTTTTACATGCATTGAACTTTTTCTAGGTGGCGTTTATGCAATTAGCGGCTGCGATTGTCAGTGCCCGTGGAGCAGCTGTACGTGGTTCATAACTTTACGGCAAACGCTTCATAGATTTGATAATAGTACGCTCAATCTGAAAGGTTATTAAGCCGATGGCAGCATACTTTAGACCTTTCAGCTGAGATACGTTCTCTTTTGCCATATCTGCGAGATGCTTAAAGTGCTCAACCTTTCCATCAAAATCTTTGGTTATGGGGGACCTTGATCTGTGACTCCATCATCGTTGCGACCATGACATTTCTGGTACTCCCGTTCTCAGTGTAATTTAAACTGGTTCAAATCTTCTCTCTTTCTCTAGCTCGTACAGGCAAAACTAGAATCCTCATTTGAGTCAACGAAGCGTATTATCGATCGTCTCATTATTGTAACCTGGGAGACCTCTGCCGTCACCCTGATCACGACTCTCGTTCAACTAATTTTATATTTAAGATCTCCGACAAATTCACTCAACCGAGTTGGAATGTAAGGCAAGCGATAAACTTAGTGTGAATGCTACTGATGTCTAATCTTCCAGAATCTACATTTTGGGGGGCTTGTAACTTGTCCCTGAGCTGTGAGTGTCTTTTAAGAGATGCTGACTCGAACAGGTATTCCAACGTGCTCCTTAGCGTTCTGAATAGCCGGAAACGTGCTCGGCATCGGCTAGTTGAACCAAGTCAAACGTTCAGCTTTAATTTTTCTCAGCAAAGTACTACAACGCCTCTGTCATCCATATCCGAGGAAGCCCCAAGCAGCGAAGTGGCTAGTAAAACGCAAAAAGACGAGGAAGGCCATGTCAAATCCGAAAGCTCACCTCGACGTTGAGTCGAGGTCCGTCTTTGAGACCTACTTAATCCTCCGGGAAGCCGTGTTATGATTTCTTTTTCGCAATACGTGCACCGACAAGTTTGCCTTCACCTTGGAATGGTATGTTGTCGTCAAAGTCTGTTAATTATTGTGAGCTCTGGGGTAATATTTCGTAGCTGAATTAAAAGGGTATCCGAACAATTTCTCGGATCTGACGGGAAGTTCGACACTGGTTAAATTCCAACTAGGCAATCGGGATAACCAGAATTGACTGACGGAGGCTCGTCACTAATTCAATAGTAGAGAATAATGTAGTAATAGAAAGTCATGGTATACTATGCAGTCGATAAATAGTAATAATGTAGTCATCTAATCATAATCGTGGTCGTAAAGTATTAGTCGTAAAGTAAGGTAATCAAAAGAATGAAATAAATAGTCCGTATACCTCAACGCTGTCAAAAGAAACTTGGCCTACCATCCCAACAAGAGCGCAAAACCGACCACCAGCCACGCAGGAAGATACCCACCATCCCCTACGCGCATGCGAACCCCAGCGCTGGACTTGGTGCCATTATTTGCCGAAGAGGTCACATCGTCGTCCACCGCCTTGACCATCGAGGAATCACGCAGGATCGTTGCAGGCAAAGTAGGCTGTGTCTCAATCTTCCCGGAACCGAGCATCACCTCAACGCCGACGGAAGGGACGCCATTTACAACGACGAACAACCACGCGGGGCCAGGGGCAATGATGGCAGGGTTCGGAGGGAGCTGTGCGACGTGGAGAAGGGCCGTGTTATTGCTGAACCCGGTGTAGGTAGATTGGAGCTGAAGGAGACGTTGGCCCATGTTCTTGTGTGACAGGGTGCGTTAGCGGTCATATAAGAAACAAAGAAAGAACCGCGTACAATAGCGTGGGTCGAAAATCCGGTTTTGATAAGGACGACCGTGGCACCCACCACATTGGTGATGTCGCCGAACAGATCGGCGGAATCCAAGCTGATATCGAACGATGGCCCGCCATACGAAAACTGGGTGATGAGGCCTTTGGGCTGAGGACGCCTCATGTTATAATACTTGGGGAAGAACCGCTCAGTGCGATGTTCGGACGGGTATCGCAGCTCGGGAAGATCGGACCAATCAGAGTTGGGGTTTGAGCCAGAGATGAATACCGAACCTGAAAAAAGATCAGTTGGAGAACTCCAAAGGAAACGATTCTAGTAATCACCGTCAGGAAGGAGGGTTGCCGACGAATGATACATCCTAGGAACGGTACTGGGAGAAAACCCATCGCTCGACCATTGTTTTCCTGCTGCTGCCTTGGGATCGTAGATGAGTGGAGTGAGAACGGGATCGTCGGCATACGACTGGCCGACGGCCCAAGTATCGTTTCCGTAGCCAGCAGTACCTATGTATAAAAAATCAGCGTTGTCGATGAGGGCCCTGAACGCGTACACGTACCCTTTCGCGCACCATTGAGCGCCAAGACTGTTTGATCAGGGAGGAGGATCAAGCTTGTGAGCACACGCGGCTCCGGGAAGGGTTCTACATCTCGGTATTTGCCTGAAACGTCGGGGGTGATCTGGACGCACGAGGCGGAAGTCGGGGTCTCCATCGCGTTGAAGCCAGGGGCGCGCCATCTGAATCGTTCACGTTAGGGACGCCCAATGCCGTGGACGCGGAAAGGAGCTTACTGGTCAGTTGGAACGTTGGAACCGCCACAAAACATGATAGTCGCCGTGTAATTGTTGCTCGGAGTAAGAGGCATCATGGTGGTGCCAGCGCTAGCAGGATAGGTCCTTACCGCTGCCGGCATATCGTCGAGGGGCTGTTCATTTTGGGTCTTGTAATCCATTAGGATGGTTTGCCAGTTAGATTGTATCAGGAGCTTTCCGGAGGGAAGGAGCCAGGTGAGCGGGAAGAGGTTGGTAGGGAGTGTGTTTTCAAGGACAGGAGAGTGGACGGGCTGGCCTCTGGACGGGTAGAACTCGTAAGTGGGGTTGTTCTGTCCTGGGTCGTTGACGAATCCTCCGGTCCTGCAACCACCAATCTAGATGGAGACATCAGCTGGAATAATTTACGGATAACGGGGCGACGTACGATAATGAAGCTTCCATCCTCAAGAGTCTCCCTACAAGGCAGGTTAGTCATTGTTTCGGAGTTTCTGACGAGTACTCACACCGTGGGGTACCATCTTTGATCAATCGCAGTAGGCGAGATGGACCACTGCATATTGCCATCAGGACCTTTGGAGAGCAGACGAACGCTATGACGGGCCTTGATGAGAATAGACAGACTTTTATAAAATGGTTGACTCACGAGTTGCGGCCATCGAGATCATTGTATGGCCCTCCTCCATCCTGGCGATCAGCGGTCATCCCGCCATACGTCACAGCTTGATTCCCACCGACGATGGACCAAGTCCCGTCTCCCATCACACCACCACCCTAAGGGAAAGCGTCAGCCACACACGCACAAATGAAATGACAGAAGAGCGTACCGCGCAGAACGAGTTGGTGACAATCTCCATGGCTCGCTGGTCATTGTTGCGGAGATCCCATTCTACAGCGAGCTCAGATACTGTATGCCTGCAACAAAAAACAAAAAAAGAGGTGGCTGACCTTGAGCCCAAGCGGGATGACCATTGATCTGACCGGGATTGTTCTCAGCTCTGTCGGTAATGTAGACCTTGTCGAAAGATCCAAGAAACATCTACGCGGGATTGAGTAAAGGCGTGTTTGCATACATCGTCGAGTTACTGACCTGCTGTGCGTTGACGAGACTCTTACCGAGGATCTCAAAAGTGCCTGGAACTCCATGATGAGCGGGTTGTTGGGGTTGAGGTGCCTGTTGCTGGGCGATGGTGGCTGGCACGGCGAGGGCGAGAGCGAATAGATTGTGGGCGTAAAAGTTCTTCATGTGGTCGTCGTCGAGGATTAGGTATAGATGTCGTTAAATAGGCGTTATGTCGTTAGGGTATAGTGTCTTGAGGACTAAGAGAACAGCGAGGAGGGGGGAGACTAGAAAAGGAGAAGAAAAAACAGAGAAGATGGTGGTAGTGAAGAAAGAAGGGCGAGATCGAAAGTTCGCCTCTAAAACAGCCAGTTCTGTCACGTGTGCGCGTCGTTTACATAAACAACTCGGGATCGATCAAAGGGTCTCAAGCTTTTCTTTGCTCCAAAGAGGATGAAACTCAGAGAGGCGATACGTGAGTATTTCCAATTTCTTGAAATCATTTGCGAGCGAGTCGAATGCCAATACTTACTTCAAATCACGATAGGCCAGATTTACCTGGAAGCAAGCTTATCCCGTTCAAATTATCGCATATTCAATCTACAGGAGTGATAATCCAGAGCTGATTCGGCGGGAAGAACGGCGGTTCACTCGGACCAACGATTAGCAAGCCGCAAGCGACCTACATAATTTCCAACAAACCGCCTTTCAATAGTACAAAATACAGAACTCACCTGAGTTCCTGCTTCATTCTCAGGTAAAACCCAACCATCCTTCGTCACCGGGTTGTCAATGCTGAAAAACTATGTTTAACCTCACTCCAGCTCGACGAAGGAACCTACTTACATGTAGACATCTTTTCCAACATCCGGAGCATTCGTAAGACACCATCTAACGCCCTCATCTACCCCCTCAAACAACGACGCAAACACCTGGCGATTTTTCGAGAACGCAGGAGCACCGCCAGCTTTGACAGTGTATACGAAAAGTAACACACTCCCCAAATCGGGACAGCGACACATAGGGTCATAACGCGACACATAGGGTAAATTGCCGACACATTGATGTGTTCCTCCTTTCTAATGTGTCGATTTTACATGTGTTCGACACATCTGAATGTGTCGAATCTATGTCATCGTGTGCCTGCTCATCTGGCCAACTTCAGTTTCTTTTTTTTTATTACAAGTCCCCCTGTCCAAGTCCTTCTGTACCCGGGTAAATGGCAATATAATATGTATTCCTTATCTACGAGAAACACTTTACATGGGAAGGTAATAGTATACCTACATATGTAGAAGTAGGAAGTATCAACGTAGGAGCACCACGTCTCCCCTTCAATAACGACCCCTTGCTAATCGATTGTTTTGGGCTCGTGTTCGGGTTGTGTTCGTACGTCGGGGCTGGTTGTGCACGCTGGCGTTAAGCTCAACACGTCGGTGTTGGTTCGTAGAGGGGGGCGTTGGGTCATGTTATGTCGGCATCACGAGGTTTTTCTGGTGATATGGGGTATGCGAGGAAGAGAGTGGGGGTGGAGGATGGGGGCAGGCTGGGGAATTGTCGATGGTGCGATTGGGTTTGCCAATCGTGGTCGTGGGCACCCGTGTCCGTTTGTCGAGGGTGGTGATGAGCCCCCGTGGCCCCGTGGACATTAGTGGGCGCTCGTCGTCGTCCGTCGATCGTGGGCCCTCGTGGCCATCCGTCGATCGTGGGCGTGGGCCGTACATAGAAGCTTGTCAATTGTGGTGGTGGGTCCTGGTACCCAATCGTCAGAGATCGTGGTGGGCCATCATCGGCGTTCCTCGATGGTGGTGCTGGGCGCGCGTGGATGTTGGTGGGCGCTCGTCTCCGTCCGTCGATGGTGGTGCTGGCGGGCCCTCGTGGCCGTTCGTCGATCCTGGTGGTGGGCCCCGTGGACGTTCGTTGGTGGTCGTCGCCGTTCCTCAATCGTGGTGGTGGATCCTGGTGGCCGGTCGTCGATGGTCGTGGTGGTTGTGAGAAGAGAGGGGTAGTGACGTGTGACATCGCATTCGTCACCTCACCCAATTGGGATGTGTCCAACTGTGTTGCTCGTCCTCTTGTCGTCCTCTGATCCTCGACACAGTGTCGAGGATGAGCCTTATCCCCTTTCGGGGAGTGTGACGCCGTACGTATATCCTCCAGCTTTGATGGTGTAAACCCCAGATTGCTCTTCAATTACCAACTACGACGATCACAAAGAATGCTCAGGTTGATTGCCAATTCATTCAAGAATCAAGACTTACGGGATACGCCCGTTGTCCAGAAGCGATAGAAACAATCGGCTTGGGAAGGAGACTATGATCTTCGTGGGCTGCCCGCTGGACGAAAGAATCGAAGCATTTATTGCGGATGAGGTATTTTCCTGTAGGGAGCGTCATTTTTGACGGTGCTCTGGAAGACGTACCTTCGGGCTTTTATATATCGTGATCGTAACAAGATCGTAAACTTCATTTCCACGCTTGTGCGATAGAATTCGAGGAAGCGTGAGGTTGTTTGTGTTAGGGGTATGGAAGGTCCGTTCATATAAATCACTTGACACTCGCTAGATAGCAAGAACGAAGCTTACTTTGCTGAGCTCAGAGCTTGGCGCACATAGTGAGGAAGCATCTAAAAATAAAGGTTACAGCTGGCGAACCATTCGACCAGCTAAATGAGGTCACGATGAACGAAATATTCAACGGAAATGTCTTTTCTCCTGTTCCGGACGAAAGAAGACCGCACCAACGTATGCAGTATGTACCCACTGTCAGACGCGAAAACGCCACAAGATGCCCAAGAAATATCTAGTCTATGAATCATAGATAGCAAAGTACAACAATAAATGGGCACAGGAAAATCTGCGTGGCACGAGCGTGGCGTGCGTGTAGGTGCGTGCAAGGGTCTAGCGTGCAGGGAGGGGCTGCGTGCACTGACAGAGGATGTGCGTGCATGCTCCTAGCGTGCACCCGGGCGCGCGTGCATAATATATAGGGTGCGTGTATGCGCACCTCATAGTATGAGGTGCGTGCATAATAAAAACAGTCAAGTATCTTACTGTTTCATAATGTACACTAGTGTGGCCCTCCTGTAGGATACTTAATTGTTTACAGCCATGTGCTGAACATAGGGCACGGTCTTCTTGATCATCTTGGGGCATGGTTTGGGAAGCGATTTCTTTTCCGTCAGTTGTATTATCTCTTCGCGGTGAATGTAATCGGGTCCAAACTATTTGACATCATGTGAGTCACCTCAAACTTAGTGGGTTTCACTTACCTGAAGATCATCACCATCTCCGGGACAATCCTGGTGATTCAAGTCTTCCATCCTTGCATACGGATCCCAATCTTGGTGATGTCCTGTGTCCAAGCCCCATTGACAATAACTCGTGATCCCCACAGCTCTCGAAACCTCAAACATCTTGGTCTCCAGATTCTCCAAGGCCTCGCGTTCAACATCAATGTCGAACAAGACTGAAGGGATACTTGTAAATTGGATCCTCCAAGCCTCGTTGATGATTTCTGGCTGTGTGAGTACCTTGAACTTTGGTTCATTTTTGATATGTTCTGCAGTGTAAAGGGTGAACACATGAGCGAGCAGTAAGCGCCCGAGCCAGGTCTCTGCATTTTTGCTGATGTGACACAGAAACCAATTTGCAATCTGGGCTCTCTCGATGATAGAAAGAGCTCCGCAATACAGAACCAAGCTTGTTTGAAGAGGCTTTTTGCCATTTTCTAACCAATCTCTTGCCGGGATGATTTCACTCTTCAGGTCATCCGGACCATAGCATGTGAGTAATTTCTTCAGAAGCTTTTTGAATGGCGAGAGGATTTTGTTGATTTCCTCGCTGTATGGTATTTTAGATGGATCCGCGAGAATGTCTTCTGAGGTTTTGACGTCCCGGGCATGTTTCCATTTTCCGAGCTAAAAATGTGGATGAGTACATTATCTGATTAAACCAATGGTGTCACTCACCCGTATTACTCGTCTTGCCAATCGGTCGTTCCACAACGAATCAACGATGTCCTTGGTATTCACAACAGAAAATCCACCAGCTGCAGGCTCATCCTTGTCAAGATATTGATTTTCCCTCCACCAATGCACCCTCCAACCGTGTTGCACTGCCTGAATGAGGCGCACCGGATACCAAAACAGCTCACGTCTCGCTAGCGCGCCTCTCCCCGCTCTAATGAACAAATTTAAGTACCATTCATAGTGGAGAATATCAAGGTCTGACCGTAATCGTAACTCGAGTGGTTTATTCAATGCAAGACGTGCCTCGAGCTCCCTGTAAGATTTTTTGGTCAACTCAAACACTAATATGGACAATTCAAATCCTTACTTTCATTTAGACTTCCTTGACAAGGGAAAATGGTGCGACAAATCACATGAATCACAGATAAACAGGGCATCTGGCACAAGGTTACTGGCTCTTCCATCGCGCTGGCACGCAATATGAGACCAATCACGACATTGATCGCATTGGATAGCCACCTCATGCTCGTGATGATAAAGAATATTACCATTACCGATGATCCCACATCGGCAGTTCAACTCAAATTCTGAATCTGGGAGAGAAGACAGAGGGCTAGGTGGAGTAGTCGGTGATCCAGGTTGGGAGATTACACCTTCCTCGGGCTCTGGAGACAGAGATTCCTCAGTAATGTCAGCTGGTGCATCGTGCATGAGTATCAAAGCTGGCAGGTTTGTCTCTGATTGGGTGACCATTATTCGTCAAATCATCATATGTATAGATAGTGTTTGAAAGTCCGGTTAGGTCCGGTTATTGAGTGCCCAGGGGCTCTAACCGAGACCGAGACCGGTTAGCCTTTGTCCCGAAACCTAAAATAACCGAACCGGACCGCAACTAACCGGTTACGGTTGGTTATTTGCAGTTACTAACCGGTTAGGACCGAAAAATAAAGAATCGGTTATAACAAGGCAAATATGTTCATATGTATCTTGATAGATATTATTTCTGCATATTCTAGCTTTAAAACGAGCCCAAGAACGCTAAAATTGGCGAAGAATTGACATATTTATGCAATTATCCTTGAAAGTCTACACATTTGAGTGATATTTTAGAGATTTGACTGTAACTTAGTCAAATTTTAAGCGTTTTCGACGTTCTCAAGTGCGTTTTGAAGGTGTATAATAGGGCTGGTTATAACCGGTTATTTAACGGTTAGTTAACCGCAAAATAACCGGTTATTCCATTTTCGAAATCAACTAACCCTAACTGCGGTTAGGTTAGTGTTGCGGTTAGGTCCGGTTATTTTCTGGTTATTTTCC